TGCTACTTAGCAGGTGCTGAATAATTAATTATTGAATAATTAGTTATTGAATAAGTGACCATGCCTACCATCTCTAAAGAACTGGTTGAACCCAGTTTCGTAAAATTTTTAAATATATTTTTTATTGATTTTTTAGAGAGAGGAAGGGAGAGAGACATAGAAACATTGATGTGAGAGAGAAACATCCATCAGCTGCCTCCTGCACGCCCCCTACTGGGAATCGAGCCCACAACCCAGGCATGTGCCCCCACTGGGAATTGAACTGGGACCTCTCAGACCATAGGATGACGCTCAATTCACTGAGCCACACTGGTTGGCTGGTTTGGTGAACATTTTTAGATTTAATACCAAACTTTTCAAACATCCTTCCGAAAGGGGTTATATTTCATGTGCTTAGAGAATGACCACCACGACACACTGTACATCCCCCAAGTATTCCTCCAAACCCATTAGAAGGCTAACTTTACCTTCCTGTTCCATTTAGTCCCCGACTACTAATTTAAGTAAAGATAAACTAGAATTCTGAATCAAGGGTCTTTCAGTAAACTGCTGTCCCCAAACCACACTGTCACTTGTTAGCAGCCCAGACTCAGGCTCACTGACAAAGTACTTCCTGTATAACAGGATAAACAGTAAGACTGGGTCATCATTACTGTCCCAGCTTGTGGGGAGCAAGCTTGACCCCGGCAGAGAGGTTTCAGCTGGTCTTGCGGCGAATGCTTTTTACCACGCCACCTGTTTGGCCTCTGAGAATAGGGTTCCTTGTGGAATGCAGAACTGCACAGGTTTTTGGCAACTCTGAGGCAACATGTGTTTTTCAGCAAACAAGGGGCTAACCTGTTGTCGTAATAGCCCTTAAAAATTCCCAAGCACTAGGGGGAAGTCAAGGCTCCATTCTTGAAGGCAAGAACTGTGTTTAGAAAAGGGAAAAAAATGCACCCTAACCAGATTATGAGGCATAACATATTCCACCCACATTTGAGATTGTGTTGAGATGTCTGTGCAATTAATTTCTGGTTTTGGGCATTTGTTGGCTTGTGAGTGAACATGACACAGACACTGTGCTCCTGGTTCTTGGTCACCATGTCTCAAGGAGGGAGTTAGTTCTGGGTCACTGACAGGGGTCTGCGTCACATTGTTCAGAGTCACTCAGGAGGTGGAAGAGCTGAGCTTTGCATCTGTCTGTTTGGCTTAGAAAGATAACCATGCTCAACAATTAAAATAACGATTTCTAAGATTTCCCCAAGCTCTTTAACTGTGCTTTGTCTACATGTATCAGCCAATGGCCTTTTGAGTTTGTTGGATTCAAGCATGTGGTCTAACATTATTCTTAAATATAGGTTATATATGTAGCATAGACAAACATGTAGTGACTGTGGCATATGTTACATTATTTTCCACATATCAGGTATATATCTTTAACTTCACTCTATTTATATGCATGTAACTCACATAAAAACGGGGCAGGGGCCGTCCATGTGTCCTGCTTTCGCTGCTGGACATTCAAAGCAATGCGGTCCAGCAATCAGAAGCAAAATAATTCTAAGTTTCACTCTCCCGATTTAACTCTTTATCCTGGAGAATAATTCAAGCCCGTTACCCATTATTTAGACCATCTAGGAAGAGAGAGCCTAGGCGCTGACCCTAAAGGCTAGAGGACCTTCTACGCAGAAGCTTGAAGTGGGAGGTAAAGGCAGGGCAGGAGGGAGGAAGATTGTGGAAAGTCAGACATTAGCTTTTATAACAGTTACAAATGAGTAATTTTAGTCCTTGCTATAGACACCATTTTATTTGCACATATTCATATTGTTACAATACTTGGCTTTCTTATACATTAGTGTATCATTTGTGATCTTTGTTAGACACCGAAGACATCTGTAGTGTTTACTTTGCGCAGGTGCTGTTCCAAGTGGCTACTGTTCTTCTCCCCATTTTACAGATGAAGAAACCAAGGTACACAGAAGTTAAGTAACTGATACCAGGTCCTGCAATTAATAAGGGTCAAATTCAGATTTTACGCTTCAAGGTAGTTACTACACTGTCACTCTGATGAAATAATCAAACTTTACTTCATTATTAACATTTTTGACATTTACTTTTCAGAGCAATGTGGATGTTGGCAGACAATATACGATACTGTCTACACTTCTGCCTGCTTTGATTTTTTTTTTTTCTGCTTTGAGTGGTTGGTGTTTCAGTGGACCGCTGACCAAGGCGGGACTCTGTCTGGCGTGTGCAGATATTCCAGGTAATGGGGTTTGCACGGCATTTGTCTTCGTTCCTACTTTCTCAGTTTCTCTTATGATGGCCAGGCCACTGCTGTTTCTAGCGCAGAATAAAAACATCTAGTCTGCAAAGCACGACGCTGCTACAACGGGGCAAGTCAGAGAATAAAGTGGGCTCATGAGTGGGAGTGATGAACAGTCCACCTGCCGTTGGCCCTTTCCCTGCGCGTGGGGTCAGCCTGTGGCGTCCCTGCAGTCGCCGGTGTGAGTCTTTCCCTTTGGGGTATCGCACTTTCCCGTCAGGGTCGGGAGGTGGGTTACAAATGTGAGGATCAGGACCAGCTAACCCGAGGCTGAGAATGTGTGTGCTTCGGTCGCCTTTTACTGCTTCTGGAGCGACAGGAATGGCCACAGCCTGGAACTGTGCCCTTCACTTCTGTCTCCTGAGCCCCAGGAAGGGATCACTTGTTGGGGACAGCGCTTAGGAATCCTTCTTTTTTAAAATTATTTATTTATTTATTTATTTATTTTTATCCTCACCTGAGGACTTTTTTCCATTTTTTGTTCAGGTAGAGTGGGAAGGAGAGAGAGGAAGAGAGAGAGAGAGAGAGAAACATCGACGTGAAAGGGACACATCGAGTGGCTGCCATCTGCACGACCAACCAGGGCCGGGGACAAACTGCAACCAAGGTACATGCCCTTAGCGAGAACCGAACCGGGGTTTCTCGGGACCGAAGGCGGATGCTCTAACCGCTGAACCAAACTGGCCAGGGCTGGAACCCTCTATAACCTGTCGGGCAGCCGGCAGTCAGCCCCCCGGGCGGCAGGATCCCGCACTTGCCATCTCTGCCTGGACCTCAGCGGCGTCTGGCTGTGGCGGGGAGTCAGCACTGAGCCCTGGGAGAGGCTGAGGTGACCCGCCGACAGGGAGGACCGAGGCGGGTGACGACGCTGCCTGTCCAGGCTCCACCGGACTTGGCAGACGACGGAGACTGCACAGGCTTCCTGCCCGCTGGCCCAGCGCTCTCCGGGCCGGGTCCGAGCTCACCCCCCCGCAGTCCAGGCGTCCCCGCTCCAGAGGGGGTCTCTGCTGGATCTGTCACACCCTCCACACTGAGCCTGAGGTGGGGCCAGGTGGACTGTGAAAGCAAACACGAAACGTGCTCCTAGCTCGCGGGGCAGGACTCGCCGCGCTGCCCTTGGAGGTGGGCACGGAGGTGGGGCACGGAGGTGGGCACGGAGGTGGGCACGGAGGTGGGGCTCGGAGGTGGGCACGGAGGTGGGCACGGAGGTGGGGCACGGAGGTGGGCACGGAGGTGGGGCACGGAGGTGGGCACGGAGGTGGGCACGGAGGTGGGGCACGGAGGCGGGCACGGAGGCGGGCACGGAGGCGGGGCACGGAGGTGGGCACGGAGGCGGGCACGGAGGTGGGGCACGGAGGTGGGCACGGAGATGGGGCACGGAGGCGGGCACGGAGGCGGGCACGGAGGTGGGCACGGAGGTGGGGCACGGAGGTGGGCACGGAGGTGGGGCACGGAGGCGGGCACGGAGGTGGGCACGGAGGTGGGGCACGGAGGCGGGCACGGAGGTGGGCACGGAGGTGGGCACGAGGACCGCTGCGGCCTCTGCTGCCACACAGCAAGGGACACCTATACCCGGGCCGCCCTCTCCTTGCCACGCGACCCAGGGCCCGTTGTCTGGGGGATCTCGGGTGACGCGGGAGTCCTGGCTAAGGGTGCAGGCTCGGAAGTGGGATGGACCGCCTTCAGAGCCCGGCTTCGTGCCTATCCACGGAGTGACTCTGGGCAAACTGCTGCTGTCTGCCTGAGCCCGCATCGCCAAGTGGCCCGTCTCGGCGGGTTGCCCTGAGGCTTCCGAGAGCACGCAGGCCGCTCACCTAGCACAACGCTTGGCAGGTGCTCAGGGCTGCCGAGTGACGTCACAGAAGCGGTAGGAGGAGCTCCAAGAACTGGCCCCTCCCCTGACGCAACCACACAGCTGGCAAAAGCTGTCAGTCAGCCTTGTCGGAACTCTAGAATTTAATTTAAAAACCAAACACTTCACGCCTAGTGGGGGATGCTTAATGAGAAGGCTGTTGAGTTTTGACACTTAAGAGAATCTTTCGGGACCCTGGGTGACTGCTGCGGTGACAGGAAAGAGACTTCACTGACCACACAAGAGGCAGTCTTTGCAGAAGGAGCATAGGAAAGTCACTACACAGATGGGTGACAGCCAGCAACAGCACACTGTGGAGGGAAGGGAGAGTCTGACAGACTCTCCACACTACAATTCAAACGTCCAGGCTAAAAAGTAGTAGAAGACCTACCAAATAGGAAAATAGGGCCTATTCACAGGGAAGAAGAAACTGACAGACTGTCCCCAAGGAAGGCAGTCACTGGATGTTGTCATCCTGGGTTTGTCATAATTATTAAAGGAAACCTGGTTGGTTACCACTGGAAATAGCTGCTTTCTTTTGGTTTTACATTGTATTGTGAATATTATAAGTGTGTTGCCCATTTCTCTTAGTGGAAAACACTACTGCGGTAAAATGACCAGTTTGCACTAGAGGAATATTAAAATTGAGAACATTATACCCATAGATCTGGCCCTGAAAACATACATATTCCCATCGTTCTGTTAATTTTTTAATGTTCAGACAAATGAAGAAAATTAGAAAACATTCTCTGTATTTTAAGTTAATCACTTATTAAGGACATTTGAATTTAACACATTACTCTTGTTGGAAATATAGTTTATTTGGTGTGACATAGAAAATAGTGCCTTTATGCCATAATCTTCCCTGTCTTTGGCTGCGCAGACATGGTGCATTCCCCTTCCCTGTCCTTTGAGTGCTACTGGTGTTGCTGATAGCACGGGGGGCTATTTCTTCTTCCCTGTCGAGTCACGGGAGTCAACACACTCTGTAACCTGAGTGGGTTTGGTCAGAAATCTGAGACCATCTTGCAAGTGAGAAAAGATTCTTCCCACAGAGACTCAAGGACACAGAGGAATCATTAGGCAACGAGAAAAAGTTTACATTGGCTGGGGAATTGGCTATCAACCTGTTACACCGAGAGCCAGAATTCCAGGTTACACCCAGACCAGGTCTAAGTAGTTGCACAAAGCCTAATTTGTGTTCTGAGAGATCCAGGTGAACACCTGTGTGCCCCAAGTCCACCAGCAAGTGGACTGACTACTCCCAATCAATCTCCTTTTTGGCTCAAAGCAGGGGCAGTAGGGTTGTACACTTGAGGACATAGGCCTTCATTCACACACCATGGATGGAGCCCTGGTTTGGAACTGAACACAGCAGGATGCAGCAGAGACAGGAACAACTGTTCCCCTCACCTCCTTCTAGAAGAGGAGTTTGCTGGCGAGGAAGACGAGCAGGATCTGAACGGCATCTGTGATGGGGCTGAGGAAGATGCTGTTGGCCAGGCTTCTGGTTGTGTCTGGAGTTGGGGTTGCATTTGGGATGCGGGTTGTGATTAGGGTTTGGGTTGTGCTTGGGACTCGGGCAGTGGTTGGCTTGGTTGTGGAGATCATGGAGGGTGATGGTGTGGTGGTCATTGCTGGAAAAAAAGAAAAAAATGCATCAGAACTATGTTGGGTGGTTGATGGGTGCTAGAGAAATGAGGCTAATCTGATGGAACACTGGAGCCAGAGTTCATGAGCAAAATTCAATAAGCATGTCTCCAGGGCCAAGTGTGTGTAGAGAAGGGGTAAAACTATGGGGCACAGAGTGCTAAGGGGAAAAATAAAAGATCACTATCTACCCATAAGGACTACACAGTCCTGTAGGGGAGGGAATTTGTGTAACTACTGAATTTGTTGTTGGGTAGGTTGTTGGCTCTCAAGTGTCCTTAATATTGTATTAGATCCATCAGTGCAAATATAATCCAAAATGGCACAATTTTATTTTTTTTACTAATTTCAAAGGTTGCATATAAAGCTTGTAAGAACTGGTTACCACCCAGATCTGAGGATGGCTACTCCTGCTGTAAAGTAAATGGAAAGAGGCCTGTCCAAACCCCTAAATCTCTTTCTGTGGTTTCTGAGGCATCGGCTACTTCCCGTGCAGGGATCTGACCACACACTGGTTCTCTGAGGTTGCCTTGCTGAGAAGCAGAGAAAGCCAGACCTGTAGTGCTGAGGGGTGGGTGGGATGTCGGATCCTGGAAGAACTGGCCCTTGGCAATGATACCTGCAAGGGTCTGAGTGGACTATGCAGAAGGGAGAAGTCCAGTTTGCAAGGCCCATGCATTCTTCTGTTCTCCTGCAGGGGGCCTGGGAGTCTTCTCTCACTTAGCATTTACCCACGGCAAATGTTTCTCTGGCATCTCATGGAGCCAGAAAATCTACCACAAGCACTGTTTTTATTATTTTTTCAGCTGGATTTTATTAGCTTGGAGATAAGAAGTCCTGACTATAAACAAACATTTTTTCCTCTTTCTTAGAATTTACACTTGTGTTTATCTCGAAAATGTCCCTGAGGAAGAAAATAGCATCCAGTCTTTTCACAGAAGGGAAACTACCAAAGAAACGGCTAAGGATCTCATACAGTAGTTTTGTTAGGCAGAATCACTTCAAAATTCATTTTTGAAAACTGATATACCTTTGACCACATTTGCAGTGTGTGAATGGTGGGAAAATGGGCAGCGTAGTAGATGCTTTCCAGTAGTTTAGATTCTTAGGGACATGTTGTCTGGACATTAAGACTGGTGTTTCTTGTTCTTGGTTGAACCTTGTATTTAAAAACTTCATTAGAAAAAAGAAAAAGATTGTCTTTATAGTTCTGATGTAAGTTAATACAACAGAAAAATAAGAAAAATAAAACGTGTAAGGTGTAGAAATTGAGTCCTAGTTTTTCCATTTACTCTCTGTGTGGCCTTAGGCAAGTTACCTCTATTTTCTGAACCTCAATTTCTCGAATTTGTTCTAGCTCCCCAGAGGAGGTGAGAGAAGAGGGGACAGAGAGGGGAAAGGAGGGCAGGGAGCCTCAGGATAGTCTGAGGTTGAGGTCTGCAGCCTGTGACAGGCCAGTGGGAATTCCTGGTGGTAGTGTGATGGCCAAAGGACATTCTGAGAATGAATGCAACTTTTGGTATTTTTCTGCCATCGACCCTTCCTCGTGCAGATGTTCCCCCTCCTGCCTGTGAACTCTGCTATACCTGGGAAGGTTTTAGTGAGTTGGAAGTCTTTGTGGAAATTGAGGAAAGAGCTGACTTTCACATGGGTGTCTGTGTGGTGTGGAATAGAAATGGTTCCTGAGGGTGCAGGATTCGGAGCCACGGGTGACTTTGAGAATATAGGGCCCCTAGCAATTAGCAGAAACCTTGGGGGTGGCTTTTGTTTTCTACAAGGCATAGGATAAGGGGTTGAGTTCATCTTAAGTAGCTCTTAAGGTGCTAGAAGGTTCAACTGATATCTGGGTAACACATGATTAAAAGATGTTTTCTGGGGCACCCACAAAGTAACTTTGCAGGCTGAGTTCACTGTCAGATATGTAAATGGCTGCAAAGGAACTTACCGTGTTTTTTCAGTTTCAGAGAAGAAAATGTAGCCACTTTGTTGGAATTGACAGCGAAGGCTCTGTGGAGGGTAAATCAAGAGAAAATCGTGGTGAGGACCTCAGCGGTGGGATTCACAAGTTCACAATGTCTGCCCTCCCAAAGGAGCCCAACCTCTTAATCCCTCGGGTGCTTACTTTCTCCACAGCACACCAGCAGGTCATTAAATACTGGTCTGTTCTATATTGTCTTTCTTTTTAAAAATTTAATCTACTGATGAGAGAGAGAGAGAGAAACATTGACTTGTTATTCTACCTATCCATGAACATTCATTGGTTGCCTTCTGTTTGTGCCCTGACTGGGGATCAAACCTGCAACCTTGGCATATTGGGATGATGGTCTAACCAACTGAGCTACCTGGCCAGGGCCTCTACATTGTCTTAACTAAGATCCTCCATGATCTTGTTCCAGAGAAGATCATGTCCATCCCCTACTCCAACCAACTTTACCACCCTGAACTCCCCACAGGCTGGGACACACCTCTGGTCTTTGTTCAAGCCAGACCTCCTGTAATATCCGTGCAGACCACATCTGCCCACAGATTCGCAGCAGCTCCGTGAAGTTGTTTCCCTATCACCTCTAACCCGGACAGGCCTCCTCCTGAGAAACATGCCCCTCTGCACGGTCTTGCTGTGAGCCTCTCCGCACACTGCAGGCAGCTCTCCGAGAGCAGGTTCTGCTGCCAACAGCGGCCGACACTTACTAGGGGCTTAATGTCCGTTACACGATCAGTAGAGCTTGGTCTGTTGTTCTCCTATTAGTGGATCCATTGCTACATCAGCCTCTTGTTCACACGCTCAACGATTAGTTCATGGGAGTGCACAACATGCCGATCACTGTGCTTGGTGCCGAGGGGACAGTGGGACCAGACAGGCCTGGTCTCACCTGTGGCACTCAGTCCCCTCAGAGGGACAGATTTTAAATGAATAACCGACTGACAAGTGGACAGTGGTGACATGTGCCCTCCTAAGCAGAGGAAGCTGCGAGAGCGGAAACGGGGCTCTGGGACTTCTCGGGGGTTCAGGGCATGCTTTCTGGAGAATGTGAGGTTTAACGTCAGTAATCACTTCTTACTGGCCTTGCCTCACCAAACCTCATGGTAAAGTTCACGGCCAGGGACCTCTTCACGTGACTTCTGTGCCCTCCCCAGCACAGGGGGTCCCTGCTGTCGGTACCCCTAGCACGTGCTGCCCTCCGCCTTGTCGCCCACTGCGCACAAGCAGCGAAGCCATAGCAGGGTGCGTCAGGAGTCTGGAGGCCACACTGTCGGTGGGAATGTGCTTTGCAGTGTCGCTGCTTGGGCTTGTGTCTGCCGTGCAGAGTGGAGGCTCACAGGAGGGGCGGCGAGGGGACAGTCATTGCCCGAATCAGCCTTGCCTGGTGGCCACGTCGGGACTGACCCCGTGTGAGGCTGGGGGTAGCAGCTCCTTCTGGGACCTCCTCTGCCAGCGGCTCTGCGGGAGACAGCCAGTCCCGCTGGGGCGGCCGGCGAGGGGTGGCCGGCCAGCATCATCACCACACTGTCCCCGGAGCCAGTGGACACAGCCTGATGGTCAGACTTGTCCATTCCATACGAAATGGCCGTCCGACCCTGCAGGGACCTCTCAACACTGGCTTCCAAAGTAAATCTGGTCACCAGGCCCTGGTCACACTGGCAGTCAGCAAGCGTAGAGAATTTGAAGCAAACAGGGTGCCCGTGGCAAAGACTCTTTGCTCGACCAAACTTTGGTCGGGCTCAAAACCTCCCCCTTGGCCTATGTGTGTCCTCGCTTGTAAAATCCGGTTTTAGCAAGAACCTGCTAAGTCTGTTTAGCAAGAATCTGTTAATCTTGATCTCTGATAACCCTGATGTCTGACTGAGTTCCTTAGTTTCTGCCACCCCCCAGGTGATATCTGATCACTCTGACCAGCCTTCGGCAACAATCCTGTTGGGTCAGTTCAGCCAGACCACCCGTTACAGGCCTTGATGTTTCCTCCCAGTAGTGTTCCCTCCACGGACTTCCACCTGCTCCTTGGCGATAAATTTCCACTTGCCCCTGTTGTAGTCAGAATGGAGCCGGGTTCTAGAGGGGTCTGTTTTCTCCTATTGCAATGTTCCTGAATAAATTCTTTACTCTATGTGTGTGTGTATGTATATATGTATTCATTCATTCATTTTGCTTTAACTACTGTCAAGCTCTGGTTTTCTTTAACACCAGTTTTTTCTATTTATGTTGAGCACACCTGGTACGTACGTGCGTGCGTGCGTGCGTGTGTGTGTAAACTCCTGTGGATGAAAAGTAGGGCAAAGAATGCAGAAGAGGGGTGCAAGTACTCTCTTCACCACATCGTATCTGAATTGTATTTTGAGTCTGAATCCTCCAAGGTCAGTGTAAAACTACAGAAGCCCAGCATGAAACTGCAAAAGCTCAGAGCAAACCCTGTGTCGACAGCTCTTACTGTATCTCGGCTCCAGTCACGTTCGTGGGCGGAGACTGCCAGGTGGCCTTGAGGACACCTGCGCGCGGGTCCCTCACGAGGTACAGGACGCTGCTCTTGCACGACTGGTCCACCCCGTACCACAGGCCTACCGCGCTGCCGTTCGAGTCCAGCGCTCGCAGGACCACGGAGCTGGTGCTGTTATCCACAGGAATGGACACTAGGGGGAAACGATAAGGAGACAGTCAGCCACCTACGTCATAAGACAAGGGGTGAGGGTCACACAACCAAAATTAACTGTCAAGAAAACAAAGTTACAAATCACATGTACATAGAGTATGGTACCATTTTTGTAAAAGAAGTTGAAAAACGTCTGTAATGAAAGTCGTCAAGATATTAACTGTGGTGACTTCTTGGTAGTGGGGGTACAGATGATTTTATTTTCTTCCTGATGCTTTTTTGTGTTTTCTAAATTTTCTGCATAAAACATACACAAAAGGAGACCTGCACTCTGGCCCGGTTCTGCTACCTACCAGGGGTGAGATTCGGGGCTGGCTCTTGGCCTCTTGCTGGTTCGCACCCGCCAGGGCGGGAGGATCCTCGAGCTCTGCCCACCTCTCAGGGGGAAGGGAAGGTGGGAAGAGCAGGGTTGGTGCCTGTGAACCGTCCACGCGGGCCACCTGGCCACCTGGGAAGCGTTCCCTGAAAATTGGGAATGTTATTGCCAAGTTAAAGCAAAGCAAAGCACATTGCCTGGTCCTAGAAATTCTGAAGCTCTTGGTCTCTGTTGTTGAAGGTGAGGGAAAGGGGCTCTGAGCCCCTGGGCCCCTAATCCAGGCCCCTGTCAAATGACCCCTTAGAGTTCCCTAACCTTCTCCACTCAGATGAGTCTCTGATTTTTTTATTCTCACCCGAGGACACCTATGCATTTATCTTCAGACAGAGTGGGAGGGAGAGAGGGAGGAAGGAAGAAAGAGAAACATCGAGAGAGAGAGACACATCAAGTGGTTGCCACCCCACAACCCCAACCAGGACCAGGGACAAACCACAACCAAGGCATGTGCCCCTAGCGGGAACCAAACCCGTGACTCGCTTGGTCTGTGGGCCGACGCTCTAACTGCTGAGCCAAACCAGCCAGGGCTCAGGTGAGTCTCTTATGCCCTAGCCTAGTATGTACTCACAGGGGACCCCACTGATCCTAGTTAATTCCTCTTGTTAATTTCAGCATTCTGGTGTGTAATAAATTGGGAGGAAATTTCAAGAGAATATTCCTTAGAAGATTCCTTCTGAATGAATTCCTCAATGCTAAGGTGTTCAGACACCCAAAATTCCTTCAAGGACTTCTTCACAAACCAAAGAAAACTGATCACGTAGCACAATAGGATCGGACAGTCCTGGTTCTCAATTCTAGCTCTAAGAAGTCATTTCACCTGTGAGCCCGTTTCCTTACTCTTCATCATTCACTCCGCAGATATTTATTACATGCTTACTGTGCACCAGGCCTGGTTCTCGGTCTGGAGAGAATGACTCTATCCTTCATTACATGGAGATCATGGTACCTTATCTTGCAAGGTTCCTGGGAGGAGTCAGAGAACAATGCATGGTGGGTGTTAGATGAATTGTACTTGTTGTTTTTAGCACAGAACACTCCTTTGTTCTATTTATTCGTTATTGCCAATTAAAATGGGCTCAGCCAGATCCTATGGGCCCTGACTTGCTCAGTGAGAACCTGTCCTTAGTCCTAGATTGTGCGTCATGGCAAGGTGGACTGTGACAAGGGAGGGTGTCATCCAGGTAGTCATCAGCTCTGACAGCTCTTCTGCCTTCCCTCTCGCTCTGGCTGTGCCCTCCGTTTCTCTCCTGGGCGCTGTATTTGGATTCCCCGTCTCCGTGCTCTCCTCCTTTTAGGCTGCAGCCAGATCAGACTTCCACACACAACACTTCCGTCAGGAGACGCTCCTCTCCAAAGTCATCCAAGTGCCCTTGGTTCTAGAGCATCTAACCTGTGTGCTTCTGTTCTGAGGGGTGCAGTGCCCAGCAGGTAGCCTTGATGAGCCTCGTAATCCAGCTCGCGCTGATTTACGTCCCACTCTGGTTCTGCACACGCTCGACTCGCGCTTGCTCCTGGTCTCTGTTCGCATCTGCTGTCTGTGCGGAATCCTTACTTCGTTCCCAAGCACAGTTCATTCCCATCTGCGCTCCAAGATCCTGCGTATGTCCCACCTCCGGGCCAGTTGAGCCTTCTTTTCCTCTCCTCAAACATTTACGCTTTTTACTGTTGAGTTCAGTGCTTAATTACATTCTGGCTTAATTACATACTGTGGATTCATCTGTGTCGGTATCTGGCCAGCCCAGTGCTGGGCACCTGGGGGCAGTAAATAACTACTAATTGATCCATTTAGGAAGCTGCACAGCCAGTGTGGGAGAGTGAGTGTCCTAAAGGCCAAGATGCAGGACAGAAGGCAGCCGCCTACACCCTCTGGCCCACAGGAGTCCAAGGTGGAGCGGGCCAGGCCCGCCTTAACCCGAGGTCGCTGCGTGCGGGCTTCATTCAGTGCTGTGAAGGCAGACCCGGGGGACTCGCTCTAAGATCGTGCCTGAGCTGCTCTTGTGTCTTGGGACCTGCCAAGCCATGTATACATGACTTAGCAATGTTGACATAGACCCTGAAAGTTAGAAATTTTCAAAATAAGGAGACGTTGGCTTCTGTAGGCACTTGCAGCCTCGGCCAGCCAAGCCTGGCACTGTCACTGTACAGGGGACCCGGAGCCTGCGTGTGTCCTGGGAGCAGATGGGTGCTTCACACCCAGGACTTTGACTCAACTTGAATCATTCCTACGATGAGTCAGCCAGCGTGTCACGGACTGTAGCACATTCTGAGGTGAATTAAGATGAAGTCTGGGGAGGAACATCGCATGCAGTAGGCACTTAATGACCTTGGGTCCTCTCTCCCTCTGCCCCATCTACTGCCACTGTTAAGTGCTGGGATTTCCCTCTCGCCCAGCATGATCCCTTCCAAGGGGCCTTTCCCTTTTAAGGATCTTACTGATCATCTTTTGACTTCTGTCTCCTGTCTTCCTACAAGGCTCACGATGCCCCCTCTGTGCACCCCAGCCTTCACAAGGTAGGTGCTTCTTTCTCCCATCAACAGCCCCCATCAACAATACCCTTCACCTTGTGATGTGTTGTCCTAAGTCAGTAGTCCCTCTGGCCCCCCGAGGCCTCTCCCATATTCAAGGTCGGACACATGCCCTCCCGGTGTCTTCATCTTGAATTACAGGATCACCCTCACTGGCCTGCAGGACAGGATCCACTGCCTGAGTGAGTAGGACATAGTGCGCCCTATCACAACTGAGGCATTTAGTGACAGTCCCATGAAACAAACAGAAAAGTGCAAGCTGGCACAGGTGTGTGAAGACAAGCAACACTCGTTTCTCTGCCGAAGCCTGGACTCTATAGACCACGGGTGTGGGCGTCCCCCCGGCGGTCTCTGATCTGTGGTTGGAGTTGTAAGAGAGGCAGGGTAACACAGTCGACAGGAAGACAGGCTCTGAAGCTGGACAGCTGGCTGAACCAAGCCGACTGTTGTTTAGGTTCAAATGCCGGCTGTGTTACCAGTGACTCTGGATAAAACCTTAACTTACCGGTGCCTCAGTTCTCATCTGAACGTGGGAAGATGATGGCATCGGCCCTTTCATCATTCCCAGCACACAGGAAGAGTTTCAGCTCTTAGTACTGTAACCGAGAGGCACACAGTGGGTGGTGAAGGCAGAGTCCCTGAAGATAGTGCTCAGGTTCGTATCCCGGCTCCCCCATCTAAGCAGCTCTGTGACCTGAGCAAGTCACCAGCATTTCTACCTGTTCTCACCTACAAAACAGGAATGACGGCGGGCTCCACCTCACATGTTGTTAGGCTAAACGAGGTAATACACACAAGTCACCATATTAAATGCTGCTATGAAAGTCCTTAGAGCACTCGCCTCGACTTGCAGGTTTGGCTGATCTCAAAAGGACATTTATAAAATATTACAAGGCACCTCTAAGAAAAGCACTGGGTTAGGAATGAAAAGAACAAGATTCAAGGGCCAGTTCTGCCCTCATGAACAGTCAACGCCTCTCAGCTTCAGGCCCTGCGTATAGGAGGCGGGAGAGGAATACATTTCCTCCCAGTGAACTAGATTTTTCACTCTGGACTAAATGTGAAGAGCACCTCCTGGAGTTGTGCAATGTACAGTCATCCACAGTGGAATTGTTTTACCAGGTGGGTGTGAAAGATTACAAACTGTGATGCAATCATTATCCCTTAAAATAATAAACATGCCGGTTTTAAGTTGGAATTTGCCATGAGTCGCTCTTGCTGGGGCTCAGTTAACCTGGGAGCTGGGACTTAGTGAGTCCTTGTCACTCAGGTCAGCACAAGGGACATGCAAAAACATGCCCACTCTCTCGCAGTTCTCATTCCTTCTGTCCCCGCTTCCCCTCCTGGTCCAAACTGCATATTTGAGAGCAGAGATGGAGAGCTATGCTCTGAAATTCTGGTCGGCTCCCCTTAGAGAAAAGAGACAACAGAGAATGCTCCCACTCACTTGTGTAGGCTCTGTTGCTTTCATATACATCCGAGTCAGCCTTGATGGCCGCAGTGCTGGTGGAGACCACGGCGTTGAAGGACATGCAGCTGTCGGGGGGATCCGCAGAGCCCGCAGGACAAAGCAGGACTGCGAGGCAGAGGAGCAGCCCGGGCAGCCGCGTGGCGCCAAGGCCTGCCATGGTCCCGATCTGTTCCGAAACGGCTGGGCCCGGAGCTGGGGAAGACCTCACCTATTTATATGCTTCGGGGCTGGAGTTTCTGGGTGAGGTCATATATGCAAATTCCCTTATAACCGCTCCCTAAAAATGAACTGGCTTCTGGAATTTGTCACCATGACCCTTTATCAATTTCAGTGTTGCTCAAGAAAGGGAATGCACTGGTCACAGATTATTTTTCAACCTGCTAGTTGACGAAGGCTGTTGAGAAAAGTTTAAAGCTGGGAGAGTGAAACTGGGGTGAGTGAGCATCACAGACCTGACTCAGCTCCGCTCTTCTCCCGGGAGGAAACCCGGGCACAGAAGCCCTCCTGTCTCGGAACGTTACACATCCCTTCCAGCGCGCCTCGGTCGAGCAGGGCTCAATCCCAGTTGACTCTGTGACCAGCATAGCACTGGAAACACTGTGCTTCTGCATTTAGTTATTGTTGGAAAGAAACAGCTTTCGTCCAGCTTGCCCTGACACTTCCCTCCATGGCACCAGAGAACAAGGCACCTACTAAGAAAAAGAAAATAAAATCATATCTCTTTTCTGATCGTTAGAACTGGTCAAAGCAAGTATCAATAAACTTGAAGGTATTCAATAAAGATATTAAATAAATTTAACAAAAGAAATGCAAGACTTTACACTGAACACTACAACGGGCCCAGGATAGCCGAAATGATCTCGAAAAAACAATAACAAAGTTGGAGGACTCACACTTACCAATTTCAAAACTTACCACAAAACTACAGTCATCAAGACAGTGTGGTATTGGCATAAGGGTAGACATAGAGATCAATGGAATAGAGTTGAGGACTCAGAAGTAAACCCATACAGTTGTGATCAACTGACTTTTCACAAGGTGCCGGGATAATTTGATGAGGGAAAGAAAAGTCTTTTCAACAAATGGTTCCACGTGCAAAAGAATGAAGTTGGACCTCTGTCTCTCACCATATTAACCCAGCATGGGTCAAGGACCTAACTGTAAGAATGTAAACTATAAACCGCTTAGAAGGAAACGCAAGTATAAATCCTATGGCCTTGGATTAACCAACAGTTTAATAGATATAATTCTGAAAGCAAAACCACCCAGAGAAAAAAATAGATAAGTTGAACTTCATCAATACCAAACGTTTCTGCTCTTCAAAGGAAACTACCCAGAAAGTGTAGACAACCCAAATAATGGAAAAAATTTGCAAATCACCTATTTGATTAGGGTCTAGTATCTAGAATGTATAAAGAATACTTGCAACTCAACAATAAAAAGACAAATATCCCAATTTAAAAATGGGCAAATGATTTGAATATTTTCTCAAAAAAAAAAAAAAAATACAAATGACCAGTATACACATGAAAAGATTCTCAACATCATTAGTCATTAGGAAAATGTAAATCAAAATTACAAAGAGATACCAACTTGTAGCCTCTAGGATAGCTACAATGAAATGACCAAGATATGGGGAAGTTGAACCCTCATGTATTACTGTTGGGAATGTACAATAATTCAGCCACTTTAGAAAACAGGGGGCATTTCTTCAAAAAGCAAAGGATTACTGTCATATGACCTAGCAGTTCCACACCTGGGTATCTACTCAAGAGAATTAAAAACATATGTCCACACAGAAACGTGTACATAGATATTAATAGGAGAATTATTAATAATAGCCAAGAAGTGGAAACAACCCAATGTCCAACTCCTAAATGGATAAAAAATGTGGCATTTCCATCCAATGGGGTATTATTTAACTATCAAAAGGAATGAAGTACTGATAGATGCTACATGGATCAACCTTGAAAACATTCTGCTAAGCAAAAGAAGCCAGACACAGAAGACGGCATGTTACATGATCTCAGCTCTGTGAGGAACTCTTACAGACAGAAAGTGGTTGCCAGGGGCTGGAGGGAGGGGAAGAATGGGAAGTGACTGCTAATTGGTTTGGAATTTCTTTTTGGGGTGATGGAAATGCTCTGGAATTATTCTGGTAGTTTCATAATCTTGTAAATATACTAGAAGATACTGAATTAAGTTTTATGATTTGGGAATTCTATCTCACTAAAACCTTTTCTTTATGTAATATTCTGTGTAGGCAAGTTGGCATAGTAGAAAGACTGCGGCAGGACCTGAACATTAGATCTGGTTTACAGTCCAGGCCTTGGCAGAGTTCGAACCTATCTGGGCTTCAGTCTCCACTTCTGAAAATGAGGGCATTCATACTAATCTTACATTATTGTATGTATATTAAGTGAGAACTCAGTTTACACACTGATTTGGGGGATGGGTTGGGTTGGGCATAGTAGGTTTATAACACATGTTAATTCAAGTCCCCCCCCCCTCCCCCCTTGTTTCTTAGTTTGTGCCAGGTTCTCACAGGATCCCAGGTGAGGCCTTGAAGAGCAAGGGTTTAACAGCTGGTCCAGGTAAACCAGGTTGGAGCTGAACGTCAGACTAACTGTTGAAGTTGGAAAAGCTGGGTTCTGTGAAGAAAAAAGGATGCTGTACTAAATCTAACCTGAAGTAACCCCATGGGTGATCTGATCATAAATTCCTAATTGGGTTGGTCATAGTGGGCAGTCACATCCAGGCACATCACTTTTTAGTAAAGGTCTATCTTTGCCTTAAGCAAGCCCTGTCCATTGTTTTTGTGCACACACCTCTAGGTTAACACACCTTTGAAACATCTCTTTCAGACCCCTCAGAAGTATAACCATCCTTAGGAGAGCACATAACCTCGTTACCTCTCCTGCGATCCAATCCCCGTCTTGCTTTATCCCCCCTCATGTAATCATCCTTACATTCCCTCCTAATTCCAGATGTAAACGAAACCAAAACTGCTATTCTCGGCAGCATTTGAGACCCTGCTTCCCGGCACTGTCACCAGTTTTGGCTCAAGCAAATTCTTATAAAAATTCTCTACAAGTTTGGATGTTCTTTTGTCAACATTTACTTGGTGCAGCTGGCAGGATTCTGAAGAAACCCACCCAGGGCCACCCTGTGGCCCCAGACTCGGGGCTGGGTACCAGCAAGGGTCCACTGTGCCCCACCAGCTCCCCGCTTGGCACCAAGTGAACTTGGGTGTGTTTTCTCTCTTGGCATCTCTGATTTCCTTTCTTTCTTTTTTTTTGGTGGTACGTGCCCCTAGCGGGAACCGAACCCGGGACTCTCTGGTCCGCAGGCCGACGCTGAACTGCTGAGCCAAACTGGCCAGGGCTCGGAACTCCTCTCTTTAAGTAGCAGGTCCTGGCCTGCCCCCTAAACTTGCCAGTCTGCCAAGAGCTTATGTGCTAAGACTGTTCACACTGTCGGAAGCCTGGTGGGCACGTCACCTTGTTGGTCTCTCTAGGAAGGACAGCTTTCAGAGGAGAGGGTCGCTGGTCTTCCCAAGGTCAAAGTCCAAAAGGAGGCTTCCTGAAATTCAACAGAAATGACCATGGTGAATACAGGGACCATCAGTCTGAGGCACCCCAGGCTCTGGTCCAGGCTCCCGGGTATGTCAATGCAGTGAGGGGTGCAACACGGCCACCAGGGGGGGAGCACCCGGCTTCAGAGTCGGAGAGGCCTCTGCCTGAATCCCGCCCTCTTGTTGTGACCTTGGACTGAACTAGCCTGAGCCTCAGTTCTCTTATTCATATTGTAACGATAGTACGGCCAGCCTCACAGGGTTATGTCCAGGTTCAGGAGAGAATGCAGGTGACATGCCTGCCATGGTGAGCGGTGGTTCTCGTCCACCCAGGGCAGGACGAGGTAGCTCCTGGAGGACAGCCTGGAAGCCACCGGCCCTCCTGTGGCGCCCACAGTGGAGTCTTGTCAACATGTGTGGATTTTGGGACTGATTAGGTTGTACCCTTTAGCTCCGTGGTTCAGGGTGGAGATCCCATAATGCAGATCCTCATTTAGAGGACAATCTAGTGTCAGCTTCTTAGAAGCTGTAGACCTTCCTTCTCAGGCCCGGAGGACTAAGAGACTCTCAGAGAGATGACACACTATGGTCTATGACAGTATGAGTTTTCCAGCTGAACTGGCCCTAAGGTGATTTTAGCTGAACTGAACACAGAAAGATTAAACTTCCTTAAGTCTGTCGACGCACTTATTCAGGGCCTACCCCAGCCTCCTTCTCCTGGCTGGGTGTGTCCTCCACTGGACAGGCCCCCAGTCTCCTTCTCCTGGCTGGGTGTGTTCTCCACTGGACAGGCCCCCACTGGACAGACCCCCAGTCTCCTTCTCCTGGCTGGGTGTGTCCTCCACTGGACAGGCCCCCACTGGACAGGCCCCCAGCCTCCTTCTCCTGGCTGGGTGTATCCTCCACTGGACAGGCCCCCAGCCTCCTTCTCCTGGCTGGGTGTGTTCTCCACTGGACAGGCCCCCACTGGACAGGCCCCCAGCTTCCTTCTCCTGGCTGGGTGTGTCCTCCACTGGACAGGCCCCCACTGGACAGGCCCCCAGCCTCCTTCTCCTGGCTGGGTGTGTCCTCCACTGGACAGGCCCCCACTGGACAGGCCCCCAGCCTCCTTCTCCTGGCTGGGTGTGTTCCCCACTGGACAGTCCCCCAGCCTCCTTCTCCTGGCTGGGTGTGTCCTCCACTGGACAGGCCCCCACTGGACAGGCCCCCAGCCTCCTTCTCCTGGCTGGGTGTGTCCTCCACTGGACAGGCCCCCACTGGACAGGCCCCCAGCCTCCTTCTCCTGGCTGGGTGTGTTCTCCACTGGACAGTTTCACTCCTCGGTTGATAACGTCAGCTCGACGTAGCATTTTAGAGTCAGGTGAGTCAAAGCTGACGATTCAGGTGAGTAGGAAACATTTTAATTTTAATGGGCCATGTGTATATTTCGTAGTACATTTGGGACTCTTGCCCAGTCAATTTGCATTTTCTAGAACTTGGAGAGAAGTTGACTATTGCAATAGTTGCTATATCTTTGCTGAAGACATTTTGTTGATCACATCTGTGGCATCATTTAATCCTCAATTGTGTCAAGAGCACAATTAG